CCATCCTCCTCCAGCCATTCCCAACCCAAACCGACGTTAATTAGCATTAATTACTGTTCCCTCCCTCGGGGGTTGGGGTAAAAGGGACCCAACGAAGTTGAGACTCCCACCTGGATCCCAGCCTCTCCCTGAAGTCATCCTTCATATGTGTGTGTGTGTATGTATGTGTGTGTGTGTGTGTGTGTGTGTATGTATATATATATATAGCCGAATCTGAGAAAAGACATCTGTCCATCACCTGCCCACAGGATGAGCAGGGATCCAGACTACAGAACCAGGTCCTGTGGTGGCACCCCACCCCCAGGGAAGGTCTTGGAAAAGGAGTTACAAGAATCTGGAAGGGAGGAGGGCTTAATTCCCCCAAATTTCCAACTTTTGGTGACTTCAGACTTCCCTCCTGGCCCCAGGCTGCCCCTAGTATTCAGGCCAAGGAGACATCCTGGCCCCTGGCACTGGGGTGGAACATGTGTACACAGAATCAGGCCACAGGAGACGGGATACCCAGAGCCGCCATGGGCACCAGCCCCTCTGAGCTGTGTCCAGCCCCCACCCTCATCCCCTGCACTACAAGTCCAGGCCTGACCTGGTTCTGCCTCTACCTGAAGAGAGGAAAGACACAGAGGGAGGTACCCCCTGAGAAGCGCTCCCCCAAGGCCTTATTCCCTCTTTCCAGAAAGAATCTCTCAGCCCTGGATCAGGGCCCCTCTTCCGGAAAAGTGACACAGTGGGGTCTCAATGACACTGCCCCAGGGCCTGGCTAGGCTAGAAACCAGATGCAGACAGGCACTCGGGGCCTTCTCTCCCCAGGCAGGAGAAAAGGGCATGACAGACAATGGTGGGGGTGGTGATAGGGGGTTAGGTTAGAGGGAACAAGACACCTTCAAACCCACTCAAGTCTAAACAAGAGTCCTGAGGAAGTGTGGCGAAGAGAAGGCCCCAAATCCAATCCCCTTTGGAGCCAGGCGCACAGAGCTCAGGTCTGGAACACCAAACCTCCACCCCAACACAGGAGACAGAACTGGAGGGAACTTAAGTCCCTGCCTCTCAGGCGGCACAGGCCCAGGACGCGCAGCTTTGCTCCCAGACACCCTCCACAATCGGGCACGGCTGCGGGCACCTCGCTTAGGAGCCGGCCTGGGCGACGGGAGGCCGGGCGCGAGGCCTGCGTGGAGCTGGGGCCGGGCGGGCTCCAAGAGAGCGTGAGCCGGAGTCCAAAGGGCGGTGGGGCCCGGGACTGTGCGCTCCGGCTAGGAGCTCCGCGGTGGCAGGTCCCCCATACCGTGCGGACCCCCAGACCCCGACCTCGACATCCCAAACGCGCACGTTGGTACAGCCGACGGCACTGGGACCAAGTTCCCGGCTCCCCTACCTCCCCCGACCAACTCGTCCGGGT